AAGTTATAAGGCTTGGGCTGTAAAACATCTGGGCTCCAACCTGAGACTCCTGGGTTCAGGGTTTAGGGTTTGGGGGTTTAGGGTTTAGGGTTTAGGGTTTAGGGTTTGGGGGGTTTAGGGTTTTTGGGTTTAGGGTTTAGGGTTTAGGGTTCAGGGTTCAGGGTTCAGGGTTCAGGGTTCAGGGTTCAAGGGTTCAAGATCCATGGTCGAAGGCTTAGTTGGGAGTTTGGGGCTTTAGGGATTAATTAGGGGCTTTGGGTTTGGGGTTTAGGGTTTAGGGTTCAGGGCTCAGGGTTTAGGGTTTGGGGGTTGGGGTTTAGGGGTTAGGGTTTCCACTTCGTGGTTTGGGGTTCTGGGTGAGGAAAAGCTCAAAACGCCATCGAAACAACGGCCTGGCAGGACTTCTCTTCCTCCGTCGGCACGGAGATCATGTGCGCAATGAACCTTGGCTTCAAGGGTTCCTCTAAGGTTTAGGGTTTAGGGTTTAGGGTTAAATTACCAATACTATTTCGGCGGTTCCTTCATATACTTGTAGTATAATGGGCCCCAAAACCCGAATCTAATTATTCAGGCCCCTATATTAGGGGTTCCTGTGATGGTTCCTTTCAGGGCTCCTTCAAGGATTCCATCCTAAACCCTAAACCCTAAACCCTAAACCCCAAACCCCAAGACCAAAGCCCTAAACCCTACACCCTAAACCCTAAGCCCTAAGCTCTGAACCCAAAGCCCTAAGCCCTAAACCCTAAACCCCAAGACCTAGGCTCTGAACCCAAAGCCCTAAACCCTAAGCAAGCTCTGATCCCAAAGCCCCAAGCCCTAAACCCTAAACCCAACGCCCTAAACCCTAAGCCCAAAGCCCTAAGCCCTAAACCCAAAGCCCTAAGCCCTAAACCCATAAAGGGTTGGCTTTACGGCTTCAACCTTAGTGTGCTGGGGTTGAAGCCCTGGGCTTCAGGGTCCAGGCTTGAGGGTGTAGGGTTTAGTAGGGTTTAGTAGGGTTTGGTAGGGTTTGGTAGGGTTTAGTAGGGTTTAGTAGGGTTTAATAGGGTTTGGTAGGGTTTAGGGCTCAGGGTTCAGGGTTTAGGGTTTAAAGTTTAGGGTTTAGCCATAAACCCTAAACCCTAAACCCCGAAGCCGTCAGAGGGCTGGAGGAATCCGTTGCTCGGCGTCATGTTCTGGCCGAACTCGTTGACGCCGCTCGGGCCGTCCTCCGGCTTTCTTCGGTAGTATTAAGCAGGGTTATAAGGTTTAGGCTTTATGGTTTAGGGTTTCGGGTTGAGGGTTTCGGGTTGAGGGTTTTAGGGTTAAGGGTTTAGGGGTTTAGGGTTTAGGGGTTTAGCTTAGGGGTCTAGGGTCTAGGGTTGAGGGTTTCGGGTTTAGGGTGACCATAAGAACCCAAAACCTACTTTTTGTAGGGTCCCTAAAAATCCTATATTAGGGTTTATAATAAGAACCTGCAAAAAAAAGGGTTTTGGGTTCTTAAGGGAAGTTTTTTTGGTCCAGGGTTTCGGGTTGAGAGTGTTCAGGATGAAGCACTTGGCATCCGAAAACCCCTAAACCCCTAACCCCTAAACCCGTGAACCCTAAACCCTGAACCTCTAAACCCGTAAACCCCTAAACCCCTAAACCCTGAACACCTAAACCCTCGAAAACCCTAGACCCTGTTCTGAAACCCTTGCTTCCTCCAGAAGTACTTGTTTCAGAGCCGCCTTGAACCTTTCTCCTCAACCGATCACCCCTACATTCCAAAGCCGCAACATGGGGGCCCTAGCAGTTAGAGTAGGGTTTTTGGGTATAGGATCCTGCAAGTATATGCTGGAATGTACGGAAAGACGAGTATTACATCACCAGCTATCTGCAAGAAGGCTCTTCAAGCTGCGACT